GTACTAAAAATGACAAAATAAGATATTTGACATTAGCATAATAGCAAGGAAAAAATAAAGGTGAAGTAGGTATAACACACTACATTCTATTGAAACATAAACCTAGGGAAAAGAAACAATTTCATGCAACTTTGGTTACGCTGACATTTTTAATAATCAAACATTGGTTCTACTTTAAGAGAAAAACTTAAAATTATTGAAATTCTGTTTTAAGTAAATTCTATTTTAAGCAACTGCTTTGCTCTTCCCCTCGTTATGCTTGAAAATTGTCCCTAGATAGTGAATCCGATTCTTACTTTCTTAATCATACAGAAGAAGCATTGTCTGAAGGGTAAAGGATTGTCTTTACTCACCCGAGAACATAGTGGCTATCTGTAAAAGATTTTTGGCCTACGACCTTCTTTAAATAACAGAACACCAGTAGATGATTACCTAAATTATCTTCACACTTTGACAAAAAAATTATTGATGTGAGCCTAGAGTTCTCTTTGCCACTGACTAGAGAGGGAAATGAGAAAGCCTAAAAAAAGATGCTAGCTCTAACACACTAAATCTAGTTGCCCGATTTTAAAGCCTCAGAATATTGAAGTCAATTTTATTTTAATTCAGGTTTTATTTAAATTTATTTAAATATCTTTCCAGATATGTAACTATTTAGATAGGTTAAATGAAATTTTTACATATAGCAGTTGCATTTCAGTTGTGTGTCATTTATTGCTGATATAACATACTTATCATTATTGTGAAGATACAGCATTATTCCAGGAAGCTGTTGTTATACTTCGTTATGAGATATCTAGCATAGCATCCTTAGATTGTTTTCCATTTCTTTCTCTGTCTCTCAGCTCTGGCTCTTCCAGCAAACCAGCAGGAGCAGATTCTACACACAAAGTCCCAGTGGTCATGTTGGAGCCAATCCGAATAAAACAAGAAAACAGTGGGCCACCTGAAAATTATGATTTTCCTGTTGTTATAGTGAAACAAGAATCAGATGAAGAATCTAGGCCTCAGAATGTAATTATATCAGTGCTTGCAATGCTGTTCCTTTTAAGGGGGGTAGGATGAGAGAAACTTATAAACAATTCCTTTTGGGGTGGTAGGGTGAGAGAAACTTATAAACAACTCTTAGGAGATAAAAAAGATGTTATATTTAAAAGGGTGCAAGAAAATGTCTGGAAATCTCTCAGTAAATTAAAATGATGGAAAACAGAAAAGTTTAAAAAATTGGAGGCTCAAATGAGGAGGCTGGGCATTTGAAAAAGAACAGAGTTAAATACATGGAAGGTAAATTGCCAAAGAAATAATACAGGAAAACTTCCTGTAACTGAAAGGCATAAGCGTCTGGATTGAAAGGGTCTACCAAGCACCAGAACTATGAAAGAAAAAAGTCTCAGAGCATATCATCATAAATGCCAGAATACCAGGGGAAAAGAGCAGATTTTAAAATATAAAAGATCAGACATCAAGTTCTCAACACAGGCACTAGAAGCTGGATGACAAGAAAGAAATATTAATAGTAGAAGTGTGAGGAAAAAATATTCTCTATCCAGAATTCTATACCCAGGCAAATTATCAGTCATGCATAAAATTAAATAAATATTTTCAGACATTCATGCAAAGTCTGAAAAAAATTCCTATGCATTCATTCCCATTTGACAATATGAATCATCAGAAACAGAATCAAACAAGAAAGATGAAGAGACGATCCCAGAGAAACGAGATCTGACACAGACAGGAAACAAAAGGGCAGTCTTCAGTACAGCAGCTGGTACAGTACACTCTGTAGCAGGGAAATACAGGATTCTAGAAGGATGTATCTAAGGGGACAAAAATGCTTGAACATTGAGAAGCATTTTCTAATCCTGTTAGAGATTGTATTGATAAGAATTACATAAAGATAGGTACCTATTCACTGGGTCTTGCAAAAATTAAAAAAAGACCAAAAAAAAAAAAAAGATGGGTACCTAGAAAAATAAGCAAATGAAAAAGGTAATTATTGATTCTCAGTAAGAGCAAAAAGTTGTACAAAAAAGGAAATGTAGTCATAGTACGTTTTGTGGTTCTGCAGTATTTACGTAGTCATAATGATGTAAACAGCTGAATAAAATGTAACTAAAAACTCTGGTGTAATTAGGATATAACCTAAATATGCATTTAACCAAAAATTACGATTTTCAGAATACTTAACCAGTACAGACAGATACTGATCAGTTGGAGTAGATGCCGACCATAAACAGTTGTAGCACCTACCAACTGAAAAATCAATGTGCAGAGTAAGACCTGTTAAGAGAATGGGATGGATGGTACTGGTGGGGGCGCCAGAGGCAGCAGCTTTGTGTGTGTGAGTATAAGGAGGGGGGTAGAGAATCAGGATTCAAAAACCTAATCTCCTAATCCTTCACACTGGGGATTAAGAGATATATAGGGAGAGATCCAGATATAGCACTGAAGTTCTAAGAAGTTGTAGTCCAATCATTTTATTTAGAAATATGGAGGTAAATTGCAGAAGAAAAAACTAGATTTGAACATATTTACTTGTAAGGAATGAGAGCTTTTAAGTATATCTACTTGTATTATTTTAAAATTAAAAAAAAATGTTTAAAGGAGGTAACAGTTTTTGTTATTGATTTGAAATTTTCACCATCCTAGGCTCCAACAGAAAATATAGATTCATCTTATAGGTATAATTTTTTATAATTACATAAAGAATTACATAAAAGATAAGTGCCTAGAAAAATAAGCAAATGAAAAAATGTATCTTAGGTTGCAGTTTGAATTAACAGCTCCAATAAAGTATGTTTGTAGGTCATTCAGTTGACTTGCACACTACCCACCCATTTCCTAATTTCTATAGCCATCAGTAGGCTTAAAGATTTTTCCCATATTTTGGTATTTTTCAGTAGAGGTGCATGTCTTCTTTACCAGTTAACAGTAAATATATTCGCAGATTCCTTAGAAGTAATCAGGTGCCCATGAGAGAGTAGTCTATAGTCCAAAATTGCAGTAGTGAAAATTTTAAAATGTCGATTAAAAAGAATATACGTATATGTGTGCGTGTGCGTGTGTGTGTGTGTGCGCATATATATATATGTATGTACTGTTCTTTCTACTGCAGGCTAACTATCCAAGAAGCATACTCACCTCCCTGCTCTTAAATAGCAGTCAGAACTCTACTTCTGAGGAGACTGTGCCAAGATCAGATGCCCCTGATAGCACCGGAGATCAACCTGGACTTCACCAGGAAAATTCCTCAAATGGAAAGTCTGAATGGCTGGACCCTTCACAAAAGTCACCCCTTCATGTTGGAGAGACAAGGAAAGAGGATGACCCCAATGAGGACTGGTGTGCAGTTTGTCAAAATGGAGGGGAACTCCTGTGCTGTGAGAAGTGCCCCAAAGTGTTCCATCTTTCTTGTCATGTGCCCACATTGACAAATTTTCCAAGGTAAGACAGTACGTCCCTTCTCACTATATATGTAATATAATACATATTCTTTCACTATAAATAATAACAGCAGTAAACTCTTGAAGGTCATTGTAACATAAAGCCCTTGTAAAAACTTAAATGAAATTCCACTTGGCATAAATGCATACTCCAAAACCCAGGGTTTGCATACAGTGGCTCTTGTTCCCTGTGCTTCTCTCAAAAAACTAATTATGAGGAGAAAAAAATAACAGGCCCTTTAAATTACTACAAAGGGTTACCATAAAGAAACAGTGATCCTTATGCATAACAACTACCACAATGTATTGCATCTTATTGGCCATGTTCACATATTTCAAGTAAATTCTCAAAGGCTGTCGGGTAATGGTGGTGGTGGTGGTGGTGGTGGTGAAGAATCATTGGGTTGATCTCTCAGTTCTTCTAAGGCTGTTCTTTTAAATTTTAATTTTAAACTTTTCTTTTTCCTGAATGCTTGGGGGAAGAAAATGCCGATTATGCCTTATATCAGCCCTAGATTACTATGTGTTTATTTGTTTCAGATATTTTCCACATACATGTATTTCATGCCTTCTTAACTAAACTTTAATATTAACCACTTAGTATTATATTTTTGCTGTTTCCTCTCAGCATGGTGTGGCCTACCTAGTGGGTATATGATAAATACTCAGTGATTAAAATTTATGCCAAAGAAATATAATAATTCTGTATCACAGATATCATGGAGAAGGTGGGAAAGGGAAATGGTGAAGGGACAAATGATTCATTAGGAACTCAAAAGTACATTATTCCCCAACAGTGGAGAGTGGATTTGCACTTTCTGTCGAGACTTATCTAAACCAGAAGTTGAATATGATTGTGATGCTTCCAGTCACAACTCAGAAAAAAAGAAAACTGAAGGTCTTATTAAATTAACACCAATAGATAAAAGGGTAAGTCTTTGAGCATTTCTAACCCAGAGAGTTAGACAATTTTTTGGTTCGATGCATTATTGTAATGTAGGTGTGCCTTTCATCAAAGAAGTTTATGTTCAGTCAAATGTTACGCCGATTTTTTTTTTAATTTAGGAGTATTTTTTCACAAAAGTGTAAGAATCTTAAATAAAGGTATACTATAACTTTTTGAATTAAAGAAAAATCGCAGTACTATATGCATGTATCTTATAGAAGTTTAAAATATCGTACCTGAACAAGATGGAATGTATATCCTTTATGTAGCCTAGACTTTTAAATTTAGTCTGCCTTGAGTAAGTTTTTCTCAGAATTTATTTAGAATTGCCACGAAAGAGCTGAGTTTTTCTATTCACTCTTCTTGGAAATCCATTTTTTTTTACCAAGTGGTGCTAGGTTTATACATGAAAGCCAACTAATATATTTAACTGTAGTTAACATTTTTGTTTTTGTTTTTGTTTTTTGAGACAGAGTCTCACTGTGTTGCCCGGGCTAGAGTGCCGTGGCGTCAGCCTAGCTCACAGCAACC